GGTTTATAGTGTTTGGCACCAAGACCTTGAAGCTCCCATTTGCTAGTGGAAAACGCCCCAAATATTTCCTGTCATCAAATGTGCGTGCAAGAGAAGAGGAAGTTGTGGAAAACATCCCAGTGATCTTGCAAGACATTCTCTGTTCCCAGGTAGAGATTTATTTTTTCCCCACAGTTTCTTTTCTTTTCTTTTTTTTTTTTTTTAAATCTGGTTGCCTCTGAGTTCTTAAATTCTGGAATTTAGTCATCATGAAGACTCTAAAGGAGAGACTAGCTTAGCTTTCAGTGACTTTAGAAGCAACCTGAGTATCCCATTCTGAAATGACACTAACATAATTTACACTGTTGAGAGTGGTTAAGTACATGAGGTGCCATGCAGCAAAAGATCTAGCCAAGCAGAACTGCAATTCACAGCTAGGGGAAGAAACTACAGCCAGCTCCTGAGCCCCCCCGGTGTCCTGAAGAAAGGGCACCCGTCTAGTGATTTGCTCACATTAGTCCCTTCATCCAAAAAAACAGACCTTCCCCAACCATACCTGCAGGGTTATTTCAGATAACCAGCTTCTCATCTGAGGATCCCAGGCCTTGGTACTGGAGAAGGGAAAAGTCTCCTTTCCACCCTACATCTTGCCCATTACAGCAAGATATGCAACATTAAAGAGTGCAAATTCAGATCAGATTTTCATGTTTAGCATGCATCCACTGCACCCTTATAAGGCCCCTGACATTTAAGACACTGGATGAAATCAGAAAAAAATCTCAAAACTGTACAAGGACCTACCGGAAACATCAGCAGCCTAAACTCATCATACGTTATTTTCATTTGACACTTAGTGTTATTTATTAGTGTATCTTCAATATCCTTAAGTAGATAAGAGGGCTGGCTGAATAGTTCAGTGGGTTAGAGTGTGGTGCTGACAACTCCAAGATCCAGGGTTCAATTGCCATCCTGGCTGGCCAGCTGCCAAAAAAAGTAGGAAGAAAACAAGTTTTCCCGTTTCTGAGATAGAAAAACTGAGGCCAGATGAACTGGTTTGCCCGAGAAGTTCTTATCACCTGATACTCCATTATGAAATATTTCTCCTGCCCTCCTTCAAAGCAACAGGAGAAATGAAGGATGGGGTAGTCTGAAAGCTAATAGTGTGTCACCTGGAAGGCTTTTATATAAATATGACGCTCTGTAAAATGTGAGGTTATAATGAAAGGCACTTTCTCTTATTGACCCCTACCTCTTTTGAAAAGCATTATTATCTCCAGGGAAACAAAAATCAACAGAAGTTCCCTGATAATGTCCTCGTCTGAAACCATTTTATAAAGAAGAATGAAAGAGACAGGCAGCAGCTCCTAACTTACAGTTAACATTTTTTCTTCCAGTAGGGAAGCCAAAGAAGATAACTAACATCCACTGAGCACCTCTTAGGCACTTTTATGTACCAAATTACCTCGTTTAATCTTCACCCCAAGCCCGGAAGGCAGGTGCCTAACTTACAGTTAACATTTTTTCTTCCAGTAGGGAAGCCAAAGAAGATAACTAACATCCATTGAGCACCTCTTAGGCACTTTTATGTACCAAATTACCTCGTTTAATCTTCACCCCAAGCCCGGAAGGCAGGTGTGATTTCACCTATTTTACAGATGAGAAAATTGAGAGGTAAAGCAACATGCCCAAGCCCATGAAACAAGGAAGTAGCAGGGCCCAGTTCCAAGCCCCAGTGTTTCTGACTCCAAAGCCTGAAAGAAACTGTCTTCCCGTCTTGCACTGGTAGCTAAAAGCTCACCTTTTCCAGGGACCTGACATTTTCCTAGTTCCTCAGTCACCAGCTCACATGGGCAGTGATAAAAGAAATTTCCCTATCACCCCCACAGTATTCCCTTTTGTGCTGGGGCAAGCTGGTTGTAAACCTTTAATAGTGGCAAAGGGCACGGAGACCAAGTGCTCCCCCCACCTCTGCTCCCTCCAAGTCAGTGTCTTGTCACAGTAACTCAACCTGGATAAAGCCAGGAGTCACAGCAAAAGTGGCACCTCGGATGCCAAATGCCGCTTTTCTACACACCGTTCCTTCCCAAAGCTTTTTAACATTGTTGAGAAAACTTACTTCAACCCCCCTCCCCTTCTTTTTTAAACAAAATGGAAGGAAAGATGTGTAGGTCTATTTTTCTTGTTTGTTAAGAGACCAAACATTGCTAAGGCAAGCCCTGGGCAGGGGCGCAAGTCAAGCCAAAGCTGAATGAAGAGCTCATCTTCAGCACAGCTCTCAGGATGAGGCGAGACGACAGACGATCCTCCTCTTCAAACCGGCCTGTCTTCTTCTTGAACGATGTCACTTTGCTGCTCACTGCTGTCATCTGTACAGGAGGGAGAACAGACCCGACTCTGAGTGATCTCAATAGAGTTTCTATTTCCACCATCAGTTTTCAATCATCTCTCATTTCTAGTCCTTTCCTGGTGAGTCATGGAATTGGATTTCATGAAGGAGAAGCAGGGTGTGTATTCCCTTTTCACCTGTTCTATTCATTCAAAACCCTTTAGACAGCTTGACACTTGCCACCCTTCCTGTTCTAGGCTTAGGCCACTGTCACCACCTGGAATGCCCTCTCTCCTTTCTGCTTATTCAAACTCAACTGTCCGTAAAGACTTGCCTCATATCTCACCTCTTCTGTAAAGCTTTTCCTGACCAATGCACCTCTCTAGCCTGTCGTCTTTCTCTGAGGTACTGTAATTTTTTCATGTATCATCTATCAGGTAATTAATCAAATCCCTGCTTGTGACAGTCCCCCTACTGCTGCTCTGTCAAAGCACTTGCTTCCATTTCAATTTTGCCCATGTGTTTCAGTCTGATCACCGTAACTGGTCTTGCAAAGCTCCCTGCATGAAGACACTATTGGTCTTTCTTTTCTATTCCCCAATAATGCCAATATTGTGCCCCTCCCACAGTGGGCCCTTAATAAATGTTTATCAATTTAATTTTTGTGTTGACAGTTAGCAGTATATTCCCAGGTTCTACACTAAATTTCAGCTAAACCTCTTCCCCAGCCTTTAAAACAACCAAACTCACTTACCGCTTGGAGATTTCCTATTGAGAAGCTCAAGAGCAGATAAGAGTGTTTTTAAGGAAAAAGAGCTTACCTTGTAGATCCTGGACTCCATTTCTCATCTGTTCCAAGTTCCCATTTACCAGTGCGGTCACTTTGTGAATGTGGCCATGCTTATGTATTTCTTTTGGCAACTCCTCTCTCTCATTTTCTCCATCTTCCTCCTCCTCCTCTGCAGCATCTTCCTCCTCCTCCTCTTCTTCTGAATCCACTAAAACCATGATATCATCCATGTCTCGTCTCCTAATTTCCAAAAGGGGAAAAATAATCAACAAGAGACCTTGTTTTTCCCAACTTCAGCCCTCACTGAATAGGAAACACTAGATTCTTTGCAACCCCTTTAATACTATGGAAAATTCTTCACGCATTCAGCTTAGTTAAGTCATGAGATGATTGTGTGGTTGTAACCTCACAAAGACGTGCTGCTGCAGATTGCTACAGATGAGCATATCTTGTGCTGGGAGTGTTTTATTATTCCTTCCCTGCTTCTTGGGCATGATCATACATATGAGCATTGTCCCAGGCATCTACCATTTCAGTTCCCTTCAAAGCACATTTACGAATACTCTGTACCTTTCCTGAAATGCCCTTATTCCTGCTCTACTTCCTGAAATCTCTCCTCCCACTCCTCGTTAGTTAAGTCCCAGGTAAAATCCCCTCCCTGTCCTTGAAGCCCAGAACTACGACTGCACTTGGAGTCCATGCCACATTTAATTGCTCTGCTGACTGGTACAGGGATGTGAACCCTTGAACTTGGTGTTACAACACAGCACTCTAACGAATTGAGCTAACTGGCCAGCCCTGTATATTTCTTATGGAAGGAAGAACATGTGCCATGGGCCAGTCACAGTCCTAGGATACTTTCATTTCAGTCCTAGCGTTACTTTCTCATTTCATCCTCACAGTCCCCGCTCTGTGAAGCCGATGAGGAAACTAAGGCTCAAAGAGGGTCCGGAATTTTCCATGAGCATAAGGTTTGGAAATGGCATAACTGCATAAGTGCAATGGTCCACTGATTCCAAAGCCTTTTCCCACTATGCCATGCTGCTGCCTCCTGTGAGAAATAAGCCTGGGGAACGGCAGACTTACTGGAAGAATGGCCCTCAAATACGAGCCAGTAAAGGAAATGTTTTCCCATGAAAGATGTCCCAGAAAAATAGTATCCCATCATTATGAATGGGTAAAAAGGAACTATTTTTCCATAGGATCGCAGAGAGGAGTTCTCTGCTCCCACCCAGAAACTTCTTAGGAAATGAAATACACTAGTTCCATTTGATTATGTTGCTCCAACTGGGGTTTCCCTTTGGGAGGAGCTTCTGGGCATGCTCAGACTAGACCTCCAAAACATTCTGTGAGATGATGACTTATTCCTCCTTTTATTCTGTTGAGACAATTAAATAAAACAAATGCATGAGTGACTGGGCTCAGTATGTACACATTGTCTTTATGTCTTGATGATAGACCTGAAATGTGCCCAGCCCTGAGGTTTGGCATTGTAAAAGAGCACTGACTTTGGAATCAATGAGACCTGGGTCTGAAGGAGGGCACTGCTGTGTACTTCTTGGACGAGCTTGCAGAAATTACTTTACTTCACTGAGCCTCCATCTGCTTGTCTGGAAAATGGAGATGCTACCACCCCACTGAAGAGGTTACAAAAGGGTTTAGAATAATACCTGATGAAGGTGCCCTAACCCAGTGTCTGGCACATGTTAGGTCCTCAATGGTAGTTGCTAATATTCTTCTTATGAAAGGAAACAAAATAGCAGTGAAGACAGATCTGAAAATGGGTTTTTGATTTGAGTCTTGGGAACACTCACCTGAAAGTGTTTCCTACTAAAGGGAGGAAAGAAAAAAATTAATATCCAATAACATCCACTTCAGCCTCATAAAAGTTTTTAATCAATCTAATATTTACAAAAGATAAGCAAATGAGAAAACTGACCCAAATGAGTGGTGATAGGGTGGTTAGGGGTGATACTGAGGTGCCTCATTATTGTACAACTTGACCAAACAAAGAAGCCTATAGAATGGGACTTCAGGGGGGTGTACAGTGCCCTCCTTCCCCCACCCACATCTCTTCAAGAAGCTGAAAGAGAAGCAAAGGGACCTAAGAAGCCCTTACCTTTCCAGCAGAACACAGGGCTGTAATATAATATAAGTCCAGAGATAATGGCCAATCCCAGCAGAAGGAGGCTCACAATGGTTCCCACAATTCCCCCGATGTTTAAAGGTTCTGTAAAGATAAATTAAACTGTTGACTCTCCCATTTGATTCATGTGCAAGTAGAAGGGCAACACTTCCCTTCCTCTGCCTGGGGCCAGTTCTTGTTCAGTTTCATGACCTTGGGCAAAGCATACGATCTCTCTGTAATGCAAGATAAATATCTCATCTCCAGAACTTCAGAGTTTGTGGGGATCATCTGAAGCACATCATGCAAAAGAAGAATGGAAAGTTAAAATCTGTGTCTACCAGATGTCAAGACTATTTAAAAGGCCATGGTAAGTAAGAGTGTGAGCTATCAGTGCTGTGATAAAGAGTTCACATTAGAACCACAGTGAGATTCCATTTTACACCAACTAATGGGCAAAAATTACAAAGCCTGCTGGTGAAAATGGGGAACAACTCAATACTCATATACAGTTGTCCCTTGGTATCCATGAGTGATTGGTTCCAGGACCCCCTGTGGATACCAAAATCCAAGAATGCTCAAGTCCCTTATATAAAATGGCATAATATTTGCATGTAACCTATGCACGTCTTCCCATATACTTTAAATCATCTCCAGATTACTTATAATACCCAATACAATACCTACGCATCACTTCATTTGTGTGGATTGAACGTAGTAGTGGGCACAGAGCAAGCTCAAGTTTTGCTATTTGGGACTTTGTGGAATATTTTCAATCCATGGTTTGCTGAATCCATGGATGTGGAACCCATGGATACAGAAGGTAGACTGGATTCTGCTGGTGGGAATGGAAACAGATACAACCACTTTGGAAAATAATTTGATATGACCTAATAAAGACAAAACTGCACATTCCCTATAACACTTCATTTCTACTCCTTGTACAGATCTTAGAGAAATATTTGCCTGGGGACCTGGTGAACATGTACACAAAGAACTATATCAAAGATGTACATAGCAACACTGTTTATCATGACAATAAAAATTAGAAACAACACAAATGTCCATCGGGAGGAAAATAAATAACTTAGTTGTGGAATAGTGACACAATGAAAAATTATACAGCAGTGAAGAGGTATGAAGTACAATTGCACCTATCGGCATGAATAAATCCTAGAAACAAAATGTGGAGTGAAAAAAGCAAGTCACAATAGACTATGTGTGTATGAACAACCTTTTTTTTTTTTTTAGAGGAGCTTTAGGTTCACAGCAAAACTGACCACAAAGTACATAGTTCCCATATATCCCCTGCCCCCATGCACAACCTTCTCCATCATCAACATCCCCATCAGAGAGTACATTTGTTACAGCTGATGAACCTACACTGACACATCATTATCACCCAGAGTCCATTAGGGTTTGCTCTTGATGTCATATGCTCTATGGGTTTGGACAAATGTACGATGACACATATCCATTATAATACCATACAGGGTATTTTCACTGCCCCCAAATCCTCCATCTCTGCCAATGCAACCCTCTCTACCCCCAACCCCTGGCAACCACTGATCTTTTTACTTTCTCCATAGTTTTGTCTTCTCCAAAATGTCATATAGTTGGAATTATACAGTACGTAGCCACAGCAACCACTCTTTAAAACTTAAAAACAAATAAAAATAAATAATATATTATTTAGAAATATGTACCTATGTAGTAAAATCTTTTTAAAATGAAACAAGAAGGGCCAGCCCAGTGGCGCACTGCGATAGTGTGCCGCTTGGGAAGTGCGGCGGCGCTCCTGCCGAGGGTTCGGATCCCACATACA